CTTTTAATGATTTACAATATAGTTGTGTAATCTTCCTCCACCTTCCATATTGTTTCTCGTTGGATACGTGTATAATCGCGTTATCTTGTATCCTAAATATTATCTTTGAAATTAATTTTAATCTCGAAACAAATTTTCTTTTACCAAACTTAATTTAATCAACTAATTTCATAATTTTTATACAGAATTACGTGGTTTTGAGTTCTCTATTGTACATGGAGATACGTAGGAGCGGGAACCGTACTTGTCAAGTCAAAATAATTTTTAAAAATAATTTTCTTTTCTTTTCTTCTTTTAAGATATCAAGTTAACATTTTAATAAATATTTTTTTCCTTCTTCTAAAATGTAAATAATTAATGTTTAGGGGTTAAATAAATATTTTTTAAAATTAAAATAAATTTACACAATTAATTTAAGGTAATCGTTTTTAAATCGACGTTGTAAGGTGCTAATACATTCCTTAAATGTAAACGACTCCCGAACTTATTTTTGATTTCAAAGATCATATTATTTTAAAAAATTTTTCTAAGGTTTTCTTAAAATAAACTTTGGTGGCGACTTCTCTGATTTTTTAGAAAAATATTTTTATTCTTGAAAGATGTTTTTCTTTAACACATTTTTTTCACTGTACTGTTGCGACTGCCCGGTTGCAACAGGTGGTAAAAAGTATTTCATTACCTTCATTCATAACTATCCATGGTATTGCTATTTGTATATATTTCATGAAAAGTCTCAATTAATGAATGTTTTACAAGTGTTTATTAATGAGGTGGAAAGGCAAATAGATATAAAGGTAAAGGTTATCAGGTCAGACAGAAGTGATGAATATAATGAAAAATTTGATGAAAGTGGACAATGTGCAAGTCCATTTGCAAAACTTCTAGAAAGTTAAGGCATATGTGCATAATACTCAATGCCTAACACATCACAACAAAATGGTGAGGCTAAAAGGTGGAATCGTATTCTTATGGAAATGGATAGGAGCATGTTAAGTTACAATTTTGTACCTATGTTCTTTTGGATGTACGCAGTAAAGACAACTATGTATCTGCTTAATAGAGTTCCTAGTAAAGCAGTTTCAAAGACTCCTTATGAACTGTGAACAGGAAAAAAACTCAATTTATGACATTTTCATGTCTGGAGTTATTCAGCAGAAGTAAATGTGTATAATCCACATGAAAAGAAGCTTGATACTCGAACCATTAATGGTTATTTCATTTGCTATCCTGAGAAATCAGTGGGTACAAATTCTACTATTGTAACCATAGTATAAGAATAGTTAAGTTTGGAAATGCAATGTTCATTGAAAATGGTCAACTTAATGGGAGTAATGAAACAAGAAAGATGGAAATTAAAGACACATACGAAAATTTCTGTAGTTTGTGCTTCTTCTCAAGTTGTTGTTCCTCTTGTTGTATCATAGTCACACAACATACTGAGATAACAAATTAATATTCCAAACTTACAAGAACAACATATGAAAAATGGACCAGCTATTAATGCACAAGACACAAACGAGCAAGTGGAAGATGAACCACAAGAGACAACATTAAGGATGTCTGCAAGGCATAAAAGACCTATTATTTCAAGTGATTACATGGTTTACTCACTTGAACATGAATGTGACTTGAGTATTGATGAAGATCTAGTCTCATTTAAACAAGTTATGGAATGCAATAATGTTGAAAAGTGGTGGATGCCATGAAATAAGAATTAAAATCAATGAATGAAAACAAGGTATTAGAACTAGTCAAGTTGCCTGAAAGTTCAAAATGAGTCGGTTGCAAGTGAGTCTTTAAGACTAAACGAGACTCAAAAGATAATGTTGAGAGATACAAGGCTAGACTTGTTGTTAAATGGTACACTCAAAAGAATGACATAGACTATAAAGAGACCTTCTCTCCAATTTTCAATAACTATTTAAGAAATGTTATGGCTTTGGTAGCTCATTATAACTTAGAACTTCACAAAATGGATGTAAAGATTGTCTATCTGAATGGTGACTTGAAAGAGGATGTTTACATGGATCAACCAGATGATTTTTTACCACAGAAAAAGAAAATTTGGTGTGCTAGTGAAATAAGTCAATATATGGATTGAAACAAGCTTCTAGCCAATGATATCTTAAGTTCAATAATACAATTACATCATATGATTTTGTGGAGAACACTGTTGACCAACATGAAAGTTAGTAGGAGTAAGTAAATTATTTTAGTCTTATATGCTGATGACATTCTTCTTGTTACTAATAATGTTGAACTGTTGCATGATGTAAATGAATTTTTCTCTAAGAACTTTAAGATGAAAAATATGAGTGAAGCCTCCTATGTTATTAGAATAGAAATATTCTATAAGAGATCACAATGATTACTAGGATTGTCTCATAAAGGCTACATTAACAAAGCTTTAGAGAGATTTTAAAAAAAAAATACTCATCAGGGTGGTTCTAATTCAAAAGAGAGATAAGTTTAGCAAAATACAATGTCCCAAGAATGAGTTAGAACAAAAAGCAATGGAATCTATTCCCTATGCATCAGTAGTTGAAAGTTTAATGTGTGCTTAAACATGCACTTGGCCGAATATTAGTTCTATTGTTAGAATGTTAGACCTATATCAAAGTAATCTCGAAATGGACCACATTTTCTTGTTAGCTAGAGGTGCAATCTCATGGAAAAGCATAAATGAGTCCATTATTGCTATCTACCATAGAGGCAGAATTTGTGGCATGCTTTGAGGCCATTGTTCATTATTTGTGGCTGCGAAACTTTATCTTAAGGCTTGGTATTGTTGACAGTATAGAAAAAATGTTAATAATGTACTATAATAATTCTGCAGATGTCTTCTTCTTTAAGAATGACAAGTACTCAAAGAGAACAAAACACATGAATTTAAAGTACTTATCAGTAAAAGAAGAAGTACGAAAATAGAGAATGTCTATTAAGCATATTAGTATTGATATGATGATAGTGGATCAGTTAACTAAGAGATTGTCTCCTAAAATATTTTCTACCCTAGAAGAATGAGCATTCTAGATAAGTTCTTATTAGCATGACTGTGTTATTTACATATACGTTGTATGGACTATTTTGCTCATATTATTATAGATATTTTGATAATTCAATAAAAATATTGTTTCTACTTATTTATTTGTTATTTGATTTATATATAATAATATCTTAAGTGTTGAAAAATACATCAAAATTACAATTTGTAGTAATAACTAATTAAAACTATTTTAATTTAGATTAATTTTTTAAAAAAAGAATTATAAAAATGAGATAATGAATGTTTGAAATTAAAGTAGATAAATAATTGAAATCACATACTATTAGTAATTTAATCTTAACTTAATAAAAAAAATTATTAAAGATGTAAAATTTCAAGATTAATTAAGATAAACTTTAAGTTTAAAAGATATTTTAAATAAATATTGTTGATATCTTTAACAATAACACAGTGTGTTTGATAAAACTATTTTAGCTAGTTGATAGCTTATTTTAATAGTTAAAAAGCTTATTTAATAAAAATAGTTATATCTAATAAGGTAGCTGAAATAGGTAATTATTAATGTTTTCTTAGTATTGTTCTAATTATCAATTTTTAAAATTATACTTTTTAGTTATTAGTTAAACGTAATTTTATTTATTTATTATTTTTTTAAAATTAATTTTTTACTTCTTCAACTTTTAAAGCGTAACATCTTTCACTCTTTTAAATTTAACATTTCTGTATCACTTTCATCTTTAAATCATATTAAAATATAATTAAACTAATAAAAATTTTAAATTTTTTATATAAAATCATGGAAGTAATAATTTAAATGATTTTATTTTATTTGATAAAAATATTTAAAAATGAGAGCAAAATTAAAATTTTATAATTATTTAAAAATTTACAATTAATAATTTTTAATTTTTAATTATTTTATATGCTAGCTTTACTATTAAAAAAAAAACTGAGTACCCTAGCTAACTGGACCGGACCAAAGTTATTGTAGACGTGATTGGACACCAATGCAACCAAACGAATTCCGATGCTATTTTCACTTGAAGCAAATAATTCTTGTTATGGCCCAAATTCCGTTTTATTTACCCGTGCAAGCGAATCAAACCAGAGCTGCAAGACTAGTATCAAATTTGAATGCGCACAATGATTTATGTAGACTTCAACATATGTTGTAGGAATTAAAAAATAATTTTAATAATTTTGTAACGATTAAAAGATACTTTTAACAATTTTATGAAAACTAAAAGTGATTTTTTATAATTTTATAGGAACAAATATAAATTTATTTTTTGAATAATATGATTACATCAGTAATTAATAGAATTAACAAAATTCGGTATTTTTAGTGGGACAGAAACATGAATTAATTTTTATAAAAGTTTTAATTGGTTCCTAGGGCACACTTATTCTAAGGGCAGTCAAATCGTTACCTAACTTGAAGAATGCTGATTACTTTAAAATTATACAATGGGCAAACAAAAACTGTCAAATAAACTAAAACTGATTGAATCAAACCAAGATCCCATAACCAAGGGAAATATGAAACTTTGAAAATACTTTACCGTGTGCTACATTGGTGTTGGTAGATAAGGTTTAATAGTTATTAACGGATGGGATAGAGACCTGCAACAATTCCTGGTTTAATATGTTTGAGTTTTGACTCAGTGCGGGAACTACAAGCTCGTTTGTTTTTCCAGAAAACTAAAATCCATTTGCAGTAAAAGTCGAAAGGGTTGATGAAAGTAATACTTTTTCATTCTTAAAGAATCTATTGCAAAAGTTTTCCAAACATGTGTACACAACCACTATTTTACTTCCTACAACCATGCAAGCATAGAGCAAGATCCTCTTCGTACAGAGTTTAACACATACTGTTTCTCCTCGTTCGATTTATTGAGCGTACATTTCATCTTGCATCCATCACACAAACTTGAATAGAGGATATATTAATAAAAATTCGAACCTATACTCCTAGGCTGAACCATCCCCCAAAACAATGTCAAAAGTGCAGATGAAAATACTAACTAGGACCCAAATTTCAACAACAAAACATAACACAAAAAGAGTGACAAACCAAAACTGCGAGATACCCTTTTTGTTAACGCTCTCCATAGACAAATGCAAAGGACCAAAACGGTCCACTCCTCTAACCATGCTTGGCCTGGAAGTCCTTCATGAAAGCCACCAACTTCTCAACCCCAGCCAAAGGCATAGCATTGTAAATGGATGCTCTCATGCCACCCACCGACCTATGCCCTTTAAGCTGAACCATGTTTTCCTTAGAAGCCTCCTTGATAAACTCACCCTCCAACTCTGACTTCTCCAAAGTAAAGGGAACATTCATCAAGGACCTCACAGACTTCTCAACCGGGCACCTATAAAACCCGTTGCTCTCATCAATAGCACTGTACAGAATCATAGCCTTATTCTCATTCCTCTTCTCAACCTCTTTCAAACCCCCTTGCTCCAGCAAGTCCTCAAACACCAACCCACACATGTAAATGCCATAACAAGGAGGGGTATTATAAAGCGAATTGTTCTCAGCATGAATCTTATAATCAAGCATCACAGGGGTTATACTCTGAGCATTCCCAATCAAATCATTCCTAATAATCACAATAGTGACCCCAGATGGACCCACATTCTTCTGAGCACCAGCATAGATAACCCCAAACTTGGACACATCCACAGGTTTGGAACAGAAATTTGAGGACATGTCAGCCACTAAAACCCCGTTGGGGTTCTTGGGTGTTGGGTAATCCTTGTACTCAACCCCATGAATGGTCTCATTTGCACATATGTGTAAAAATCTAGCATCTGGGTTTTGCTCCAAATCATGGAAAGTTGGAACCTTTGTGTACTTTTCGGATTTCCCAGACCATATCACGTTGGGCTTGGAGAACTTTAGGGCCTCCTTGAAGGCCTTGTCGCTCCACGAACCCGTGACGATGAAATCGACGGGTTCACCGTTTTTGCAGAGGTTAAGCGGCACGGCGGCGAACTGGGTGGTGGCGCCGCCTTGGAGGAATAAAACGGAATATTCCGGCGGGATTTGCAAGAGGGTGCGTAGATCTGACTCGGCCTTTTCGATTATGGACTTGAAATCTTTTCCTCTGTGGCTCATCTCCATCACGCTCATGCCGGATCCGTGCCAGTTATAGAGTTCGGACTGGGCTCGCCGGAGAACGTTCTCCGGCAAGGTGGCCGGGCCGGCGGCGAAGTTGAAGACGCGATCTTGGGAATGGGCCTGAGCCGGGGGTGTATGCGGTTGAGCTTGGGTGGTGGCGCATTTGATGGAGATGGGCCTGGAACCGCGGAGAGAGGGAAGGACGAAAGCGGGGTTTGGGTTTTTGAGAGACGGGTTGTAATTTTGGAGAAGAAGGTGCATTTGTGGGGATGCTGCCATTGACATCGACATGGTGGCGGTAAACAAAGATTGAGCAGACAGAGGATGTAAGAAGCAAATGTTAACTGAAATTTTCGCGCAAAGTTTCCCCTTATATAAAGGAGCTGTTTGGCCAAGATCTAAATAGAATGGAATATTCACCCGGAGCAGAGGACAGATTCATCATTTTAAAAAAAAAAATTATTTTACTGTTGCAAATCTGAGGTTTTTTATTTAAATATTGTTTTCTTTAAAATAAATTATTAAATTATAGTTTTTTTTCAAAACTAATTCCTTCTTAAGTGAAAGTGACCACGTGACAAAAGTTTAGTTGTTTATTAAATTTTTAAAATAATAATTTTTGCCACCAAAATTATGAACAATTTAAATTTTGTCACGTGTAAAGCTGAATTTTTTTTTCATAAAATTAGTGAAATTAAATAAACTTTAAACTTTTGTCATAAGTAAGGCGAAACACACATAGTGATAGTGCGTGATATGATGCAGAAAGTTTTGTCATTAAAAGCATAAAACGAAACTTGATGAGTATTGCAAATATTATGGCAAAACTTTTACAACCATCATTTTGTTCAAAAAAAAATTTTCCTATCCATACGAGTTAAAAATTTCATTTGAAAAAATTAGAAGAAGAATTTTGAAAGCCTAATGTTGGTTCTATTTAAGTTTTTATAAAATTTGATGCTATTTAATTTATAAGTATGAAATTAATTATTATTATTTTAAATTAAATTAAATATATGAAATAATAGAATCTATGAAAAAAATAAGAAAGTGATTCAGATGAAATGAAGATTAAACTTTGAAACATTAAAAAAAATTATTTAAAACTTAATTTTCATCCTAATCAAGTTATTTTTATATTAATTTTATATTTTTTTATTGATAAAAATTTCATATTTTTTTATTGATAGAAATGCTAAACAATATACAATTTTAGTGATATGTGATGATGAAGGCATTTATTGCTGTATAATATATTCATGTTAACAACAAGCTGATATAACTTTTATTGAGTTATATATGGATATTATTAAGTGAAAGTTCACAAGTTTTATTTTAGATGTTGAACTTAATTTATCACTTTCATAGAATCTTATGAATTCTAATTACTATCAAGTTCAGCTTAATATTTACAAATTATTTTAGTAATAAATTTGTTTATTAGAGCTAAAAGATAATTATTTGTTGCAATAAAATAATTAAAAATAATTATTAATATCAAGAATATAGATCTTCTACAGATTTGGCACAAAGTGTTTGCAGAGCATTTTTGCTTAAGCAAATAAGCTAAAACAATATCCCTTCTCACTTTCTTTCTCCCTTCCCCCACTTGCCCCCTCTCTCTCTTCCCCTACTCCCAACTCTCCCCTTCGCGCTAATATGATATTCTCCACTTGTATAACAAGAATGGACTTTTTATTATATCTCTATAATAGTATGATATTGTTCACTTTGAATCTAAGCTCTCATGGTTTTATTTTTAAACATCTACCAAAAGGCCTCATACTAATAGAGATCTACCATACTCTTTATGCCCTTGATCCTCCCCAATTCTAGTTAATGTGAGACTTCGTTTGCATATCCCAACACCCTTATTATGATGATAGTGAGGGTGATGATAAAGAAAAAATTTCCTTAGACAATTCTTCTGATATTGATGCGAAGGGTAATTTTAATTCCAACTTAAACATACAACAAGAAATTCATACTAATAGAGATCTACCATACTCTTTATACCCTTAATCCTTCCTAATTATAGTTAATGTGAAACTTTGTTTGTACATCCCAACACCCTCAGCCCTTCTCCCCATCTCGCTTCCTTCCCCTCTCAAGCAAAATTTTCTTAGTTTATTTAAGAAATTTTTTTAACTTAAGCAAAAAATATTTCTTTTGCATATTTTACTTAACAAAATTGGACTGCAGACTGCAATTCACGTTAAAATTGTAGAGAATCTAAATTTGAATATCAAGATTCAGATTATTGTGATGCTAGTGAGGGTGATGATGAAGGAAAATTTTCTTAGACAATTTTTTTGATATTGATGCGAAGGGTAATTTTAATTCCAACTTAAACATAGAACAAGAAACACAAAGAGGTATTGTGAACAAATGCTAAATATTGCTCTCTTTTTTTTAAGAATTTGTGGGAGATTACTAGGGGCTAGAAAAGGGAATAATTCCAAGCTCACATCACAATCAATGCAACAATTCTTCCAATAGCAACACAGTCAATATTGATGGCCATGCATAACTTTATACAAAAATCCTAGAATTGCATAACTCCAACTATATTGATTGGTCACCTCAAAATCATTAAGTAGGGACAATTACCTAATATATATCATGTTATTAAAGTGTGAACCATCTAATCAACTTTAGGGTATATGCTTTAGCGAAGCGAGTAATTTGAAGTAGTATGCATGGTGACATGAGTAAAGTACTCATCCAACTAGTTTATCTTCAAGAAACTCTTTACAAACGCATTAATCCCAAGTTTGATACCTAGGCTATCTTCGACAATTTAGGCTCAATCACCTCTTGTGAGTGCTATAATTGGTTTCCTCAATACATAGGCTCAACAAGATGACAACATCATGAAGATTAATTGTACACTCTTCAAGAACAAGTGGAAAATGTACATCTCGGGCTTCCACCTCTCAAATTCAGCGAAAACTACATAAGTTAATCATTCCAATAAAACTCGCTAACTTCATATAATCCATTATTATTATATAATTTTCTTAGTCATCTATAATTTTGCTATTCTTTAATTTTTAAAAAAATTAAATTATGTAATATTAAACATCATACTAATAAAATTATGCAAAAAACAACTAAAAAATTTCACTAAACTCTAATTTGTCTTACAACTTATTACTATGTCACACAAAATTACATGTTCATAAACTATATTACAACCTAATCTTTATTTGAAATTTTTTTCTAAATATAAGCACAATCTAAATTACAATATAAAAAATAAAATTTTGTTACTAACATTTGCTGCAATACATGTCCTAACACTAACCGTTGAGAGGAAGAAGAAGGAGTAGGAAGGAGAAATAGGCGTGAGAGTTTATATATTTGCATTACTTAATAACATTTTATAGAATGCAAAATTGATTAATTTAACCATTAAATTATCTTGTATTATTTTCATAATTATGTATATCAAATTTTACTTACTATTTTAAAAACATATACCCATTAAAATAAAGTAATTTTACAAAATACTTATTAATTTTATTTTTGTAAGAAATCTTATAAAGTTGATTTATTTACTAAGAATCTTTAATTGCTTAATCTCATATTCTGTAAAAAGTTATTAAATATTGTAATTATTTTTGTTTGATACATGATATAAATAAATCTTAACTCCACAAATTGTCTTACAATTTTTCTTTATAATAACAACTTATTTTAATTGAAAATAACAAGAAATATCTCTGAATTGAATTATTAATTTGTTTTAAAATGATTGAAAGTAGAAAAAAAAAAAGCACACAACAATTTATATAAGTCCGTCCAATAACAATAGGGTTACATTTGGTCTTCAACCTTAAGCGAAAATCTTTACTATTCAACTTTGAATATCTAGACTTTGTATTTGATAACTCAAATATTATTACACAAGCTTTTTCAAGCTCTATATACTCAAGTGTTCATATAAATGTCTTTTCAAACAAATCACACTTTTAAGTTTTTTTTTTTCACTCTCTTTAGCCTTATATATATAATACCTTCATTTTTATTACCTTTGTTTTTAAAAAATAGGAATTTTAGTGTAGGATTTATTGCTCAAGCGAGATAGTATTCTGAACCAGACATTTTGGAGCATTCTTGCTCAAACAAGACTCTCGTTCAAGTGAGAAAGGATAATATCACCCTAACTATCCTCTCTCCTAGGCGAGAGAGTATCGCTTAGGCAAAGTCACAAGAAAATTGGAGAATTCTCTAGACCCATTCTCGTTGTAGCAACTGAGGTCGCGACAGGACGCGACCACATAGAGAAAAGGAAGAATTGTAGAAAAAGTGTTGGAATCAGTTTTTTATTTTTTTTAAAGTTGATGACAGGGAGTCGTCATCAAAGTTTATTTAAGAAAATATTGAAAAAAATTCTAATAAAAAAATCTTCAAAATCAGATTTGGGTTTGAGAGTAGTTTACGTCTAAGGAAGGTATTAGTACCTTGTGACGTTCGTTGATTAAAACAGTTACCTTCTAATTAATTGTTCAAAAATTATTTTAACTTTAAAAATATTTATTTCACTCTAATAGAAAATAATTCATATTTTTTACTATTTTAAATTTTAATTTTACTATTATTTTTAGATTTATTTCTAATTTTTACAATTTTTTTGAGAGATTTTAATTTTATTTTTTAAAATAACGAAACACAATAAAAAAATCATTTAAGTTAAAGGAATGAGTTATTTATAAAAATATTATTCCTTTTTTATTTTTGTATTAAAGAAATATATTGTAAAAAAGGAACTTATCTTGGCACTTTATTTTTTATTTTTTATGAATTAAAATTAATTTTTCATTTTTTTATTCTTTATAAAAAAAATATGCTTGAAATTACTCTTAGTTTAAAACAATTTAAAAAAATATTTTGAACCTAAAAAAAATAAAAAAAAATTAGACTTGACGGGTTAGGTTCCTGCTCTTACATATCCTCCATGTGCAACGGAGGAATCAAAGCTGTCACGTAATTCTTTTTTTAGAGTTTACAAAAAAAGGAATACTTGGGGTTAGAAAAAAAGAAATTTTCATGGATTTGAATTTTATTTTTTAGAGTTTGACTGAGAGAGAATAAATTTAGAGTTTGAAAAATGATTAGAATTTATAAAAAATTTGTTTAAAAAGAAAATTTTATTGAATTGTTTCTTTTTATTTATTTATTACACTTGGAAAAAATGTTAGATCATGAAGGAAAAGAGAAGAACGTATAAAATAAATAAACAAAGAAGAAGAATCCTTATTAGATAAAGGGAGGATGAAAATTGAACAAAGAGGGAGAATA